TCGTCGATCAAGGAAGGGTGCGGGTGGATTAAATTTTGACGGTGTCGATCGCGATTCGAAAACCAAATTCTGTGGAACAATGATTGTGTAATGAAGTCGCGTCGAAGTTGGCCGTAATCGAATTACACGAAAGTTGAGTAAGAGAACCAGGACGACCTCGGTCCGCCTCCTTCTTCCTTGGTCCTTTTGATTGGGAATACTTCGAAGAGCTTTCACGGCGAATGGAGCGGCAGCGCTAAGTGGCGAATGAAAGAAATCGAGTTGCCCTGGCCCGGCGCGAGAGATAATCGCTCGGAAAATGCGAAACTCCGCTCGCGAGATTACGTAAAGGTCATGTCGCCAGCACCTGTCGACCTTTTCGCAAACTTTTCAATTTTTAACGCTCGATTTCCACGCTCCCGTCAACCCCGCCGAGAAAATAGTAATTATCCCCCTGCCCCTTCCACGACCATCTTCCAACAGAAAGGGGACCGGAAGAATACGGTTAACCGCAGAAAACGAACGATCTATTTACGATATATTTAGGAGCGCAAAATTTCATTAACCTTTGTTGTGATTTTTATTTGAATACAAGAGCAAAGATGAGAGGGAATTTCTGTGCAACGTATTCCAGTTTCCTAGAAAAGCATTTCCACTATGCTAACATTTTTTGCAATTCTAATGGAATCGGAAGTTTATGTTCTATCTCGGTATATCTTACACAAAAAACTAAAGTGATAAAAAATTTCGAAAAATGAGATTACAATTGCAGATGTAAAGAGTCAGTCCTCGAATTGTAAAATTCGCGCCTCCCCGCTCAGAACAAGTTCATCTCGCGTTTGAGGATCGATTCGACGCTACGAGGGGTTCGAATCAGCGATCCCCATATCGTTCCTTCATCGAAATATACCCGCGTCGTTGTCCTTTGTGCTCGAAAGCGACGCTTCTCGCAATGTCGTAGCATCCTAATCCCAGTCAGTATTTCCTAACGAGCCGTAGCTATTCTATTATCCCCGTAACAGACGGGGGGCATGGGGACGTAGGATTCTCGTCGACAAATTCCTCTCTGAAACCGCGGCCCGTTTAATCAGATACGAACGCCATTACGGTTCGTTATCCGGCGGCTGGCCTAATGCAGCTGCGTCCCGCGGAAAAGATCGCGCGTTGACGGCGTTAACCCCCATAGCCGGCGCGATAAACCGTAACGAAGCGGACGAGCGTAATCGTGTCGCGAGGGTTAGTTACCCCTACGGTGGCCCCCGCTCGTCACTTGCACGATAACGCCCTCATTAACTCGCATTCGGCGAACGGGACCAGCCGCGACCAGAATCCGGAACCAATAAGCGCGGCTCGTCGGTCAAAAGTGAATTTGAAAATCGAACCGCCGCTTTCCGTGTCTCCACCGTGCATGTGTGTGTGTGTGTTTTTCAGCGTCGATTCGAGTGAGCCGACGTCCTGTTTGATTTGGCCGCTCAGACAGCGAAAATTTGATCGCGGCTCGACTGACACGAATTGGCTCCAACTTCGAAGGGACGTTTCCGGTGGTTGCAAGTATCGAACACCGCGAACGCGACTGGAAGGGACGTTCGTTATTATTATACTATGATGGGCTGGAATCGTGAAGCAATAGCTTCAATAGCTTTGTAAAAGTGGGGCAATTTTAGAGGGAGGGGATGTTTTATTTTATTTTTAAGGACCCTGTCGGAGACTAATTTTTCGCGAAGAGAGTATGTTTTACTGTCGTGATCCGCAAAGGGGTGGAACCCGGTAAACGAAAGCTTCGTAACCGGATAGTTCCCCAACTCGCGTAAAATTCGCAGCTCGAGTTCCCGCCCGGTAAACAAACGACTCGTGAAATTCGACGCGTCGTTTTCGATCCGCGACGCGCCTCTGCGCGCTAGACTCGTCCGGCTTGTGTCCCCAGCGGCATTAATAATTAGCCTAATGACAAAACCCACCCCTGCCCCCCCCCCCTGTACAATGCCGGACGCGGCAAACAGACGACAAATTCGCCCGGTCGGTCGGCGTTATTTCCGACGAATTACGGGTGTTTGATCGCAGCCTGGAAACGTTTACGAAGGCCAGCGTGGGCGGTCGTTTTACACGGTCTGCCGTTTTGCGTTCCCCGCCAATATTCCGGTGATTACAGGGCCCGTGGTTTAAGATTAACCAACCGAAACGCGACACGCGTTCCGTTTCCCCCGTGTTTTCGCCGAACGACCGTTTCGCAGTTCCGGCGGATCGAAATCGGCCATTTTTCGCCTATCGACGCGATCGATTTCGATCATACTTCGATGTATTGTAGTTTATGCTAAATTATGGGGGGTTTAAGTCATCATCTTTCTGGTTTTGTGATTGTTCAGAAGATACGAACCTTCGAAATTTGAAGATCTTTCTTTCGAATTTTAAGGGTTGAACATTTATTTGTATTGGGGGCTTACGCTTCTTCTAATAAACTGAACCGACCGAATTGTAATAAATATTAATTGCTCAACTGCTCGTCCTTGAGATCCTCCGACGACTACGCGAATCGAGCCCGCAGGGTGAAACTGGCATTCGATCGTCGAGGAATCGAATTACCCGCGAAAGTTCGGAAGGAATTCCTGGGGTCTGGTGGAAGGCGGACGAAATGCAGTAAAAAAAAAGGGCCACGGGGAGTCGGAATTCCGCGAGATAGGACAAGAACCGTCCCGAGAAGGAGGAAGACTTCTTTCAAGCGAGCGGGGCCATTGTTTCCGGTACAAAAGGGACAGCAGGTTGACGGAGAAGACACTCGTCGCGGAATCCATTGTTCTGCCGCTGGCTCGCGAGGACGTCGCCTCTCAAAAACTGCGGCTCGGGACGTCCTCGAGATCACTCGTCGGCCACTCCAGGCGGACGAAGCTCCGGAAACATTTTCGCGCGTGCCTTTTACACAGGGGAGGCTTCGTTTCCCTCGAGAAACTCTATTCGTCGAGCTTACGGTTTCCTTTCCCCAGAAGGAACAGCCGTGGATTCCCCATTCGAGCGTATATGTATACTTCGAAACAAACCCATCGACTCTGCTTCTCCTAGATTTTCATTTATTTATCAGACACTTCCTTGTTGATATCACTGATCACACTCCTATTAAAACTATAATAACTCTGTTTCATAGCTATTACTTAAGTGCAACCATTTACTCAACGCTTTGACAAGACTCTTAACATTGAAACTGAAACAATGAATTCTCAAGCTGGAATGTTGAAATAAATAAATTTGAACAGGATTCATGAATTAGAGCGAGGTTACGATTTTCTAAAATCGAATTTTTGGTCCATTAAAAAATTGTTTCAGATCCAGCAGACAATTCGCAATTAGTGTCCAAGCTCTCGAAGCAGCGAATTAAAATTATTTTCGCGATGCTGGCCGAAATTTCGTTCCATTTCCAAGGGAGCGAGACAAAGGGGTAGGAATAAAAAAGCCAAGACTCGACTGCGAGACTTAATTAATGTTTTGTCTGCGCCGTGGGGCACGACGCCCTTCCCGTCCCCGTTCTCGAGCGTCGCGACGAAACTTCCAGCGCCCGCGAGAAAACGGGGGCTCTATCAAAAATTCGCCGCGGGTAATACCCGTCCCGCGGGATACATTAACCCCTGTAAAAAAAGCCGCGGGGGGAAGTCCGTGTCTCGAGCAGCTTTATCTCCCGAAATCCACTCGGAAAGTTTCGCGGGGCTCAACAGTCGCGTGCAAACGATGCAAAAGGAAACGCTGAGAAGTTCCGGCTGTAATCGGGATCAGGATATTTAGGCTACCGCCCCCCCCCTCCCCCCTCCAGTCAGCAGCCAACAAACTTTGATCCCTCGGATTATCTTGAGCCCCCGGGGATAGCAAAACTGCAATGTAATCGAAGAATTATGGGACACTTCGAAACGAAAATCAACCCTTTCTCGTTCGATATTTATTTAATATTTCTAGCTTTTTAAACGTTCGTTAATAGCATTTAAAATTCAGTCTTCGAGACCACTGGAAATTCGGTTCAGAAAATTTATTATTTCTTACCCTTCTGTACCAAATTAATAATCTTTTACAATTCCACTAGCATCGTTATTTTTCTATCCTTTTCAATTTTTTGAATTATTTGAAGGTTTATCAATCATTGGAAACCGCTCGAGATTCGGTTCAGAAAATTTATTATTTCTCTCCCTTTCGTATCAAATTAATAAGTTTTTACAGTTCCGCGAGCATCGTTATTTTTCTATAGGACGAATTACCGAGCGAGAACGATCGTTTCGAAGGGCCAATAAACGAATCAACCCCCGGCGTCGATATCGTTCGATGGCCATTATACAGGGATTAAAGCGATCCGAGCCGTCCATTGATAAAACACCCACGAATTTCCGGTGCTTTTTAATGCGACCGTAATCGTATTACCCGCGAACGGGGCTCATTAAACGAGGCCTTCTTCCGCGTACAATGCACCCCCGCGCGCGATTGGTCTCGTTCGGCGTCCGGAGAGGCAATAAAATGTCGGGTCCGTGTCGTAACGAATTCCGGGCGTGTTTTTGCGTCGCGAACTCGTCGACGGGATGCTGGAGACGAGATATTTCCAGGGACCGCCGGCACGTGGGCGCATTCCAGGATTGCGTCAACGACGCACGAAGGAACTCCGAAAGATCGCGCTTACGACCATTTTATAGTCAAAAAAAGGCCCTCGAAAGCTAATTTTCAAACACGAAGACTCTTGCAATTTTTATAAATATATAGTTTTACCGTTAAGGAAACATATTATATTTTTGTCCATTGGATGTCTGAAATGGAATGTCATATATGTATGTACGTTACTTGATGAATGTAAATTTGAAGAAAATTTTTACGGATAGATGAGAGTGAAAGAGGTCTAGGAGGTAGACTATCTTCGATGAAAGCTGCTTAGGTCGCAGACGAAAGGACAGCATAAAAATACGAGCTCTCGAGCGAAAGGGGAAGAAACGAATCTCCGAGTTTCGATTCTTGTCGACGACGATCGGCGATCGATGGGAATTCGTTCGGTAGGGACTTACCGGGAAAAGCTTTCATTAAAATCGGATCCCTGGGACTACAGGACAGGATGATCCTCCAGCGATCGAGCGAAACGGCCGACGTTTGATTCCTCCGTGCGGTCAGGGATCTGAAAGAAGGTTAAGAGATCTGATTAAATCGAAAAATTCAATTCCCCAAGGGGGTCACTCCTTTAAGTAGTCTGCCTCTTAAACTCCCCCTTATTTCGATTGTTTCGCTCCCTGGAAACCGTATCCGCGTTTCCTGTATCTCACGATCTACGTCTCCGAAATGGAGCATCGAGATAAATTGTTATTTTCGTCATCTTGATACCGATGATATCTTTTATCGAACGATACTTTGCATTAAACAAAAATTTCAATGCATCGTACGATACTCTATTTTGAAAAAGAATTATCTTTCAAGTAGCACTTAAGAAATTGATATTCTCGTAAACGAGGCCTCTTATGGAAACATTTCATCCCCCGTTTCCGACTCATTCCTGCTCCGCCTGTATTCTGGGAGATACACTTTTCCACTCGTTCGCAGCGACGGTGAAGTCGAACGGTTTAATTTGTACGCAATCCACGAGATAATGAGATGAAAGGGAACCAGCACAAATACCATTGAAAGACTCGATCCCGCGGGGCTGATACAACAGTCAACAACAAGCGGTTGGATCGTCAGCGAACCAACGTTGCAGAAACGTACTCGAACCTGCCCGTCGCGTCGCGTCATCTCCGATTAATAACGACGATAAACTCCCATTGTCCACGGAGTTCGTGACTCCACGTGAAAAGTCGGGAGTCATCGCCGTGGGACAATCATTTTCTATTTTTCACCACGAACCGCGATCCCCCGGCCACTTCGACCGAACCGAAGGACACTGGAGTACTACTTCCGTAGGCAGTTTCTTAAAGAGGGACACTAATTGGTTATAAAATGGCCTCCCACGGCTTGGCCTTGCAAAGTCGCGTGCTAAGCACCCTCGATCTCCAGCTCCTTACCTTCGTGCTCACGATAGCTTCGACGGAGACCCTATTGCCTCGATCCGGGGCTGTGTTAAGGGGTTACACCGCCACGAAAACGCTAAACAATCCTCGTTCTTTCGTAATTAATCGCTGGAAAACTACTCGTTCGAAAGATCCGCGCCTTCGCCGTGTTTGGAAATATTTTTACTTTCCACCGATCGACGATCTTTATTCCACGGTCGAGACTCTGTTTCAAGGGGTGGTTAATTTGAATTTAAAATTTGGAAAAAGATTTTTATTCGCGAAGTGAAATACTATCTGGACAAATTGGAGAGTACCAAAATGGTGATATTTAAAATTTTTTCCACGTTTCACAAAAATATGAAAAAAGTTTGATTCGTTTTTTAAACGAAGCGATTAAAGGATTTAATAATCGAACGATATTCGAGTGAGCGTCGAACCCGCCCGTTAGAAAGGCAAATTCCGCTCGACTTCCCTGAAATCACGAGAACTTCGGGGCGCGATGAACTGCATTCCGCAAAGAGATCGATGTATTTCTGGCGTGAACGGGACCATGGTTCGCACGATTCGCCTAAACAGCCTGCGCCTGTGCGCTTCCGCGCTGGAATTCCCGTTGTTAATTGACGGTGAAATTAGTCCGGCAGGAAATTCGAGGAATCTTCCGTAGTCTCTCGTGCTCACCCGGTTCTGATTTACTTTCGACCCCCGGTCGGCCATTATCGTCCCTCGTACGATTTAGTTTTTAATCAACGTAAAGACGAAAAGAGAGAATCTTCAGTTTCTACTGTCTTAAAACAGTCTAAAATAGTTCAACTTTAGACGCGTACAGTTCCGAAACTACTAGTGTTTTCTCCATAACTGAGCCACTGTTACAAGCGGCAAACCTTCCTCTTTAAAACGGTTTTTGGTTTTTGTCGATCCGACTTTCCGTTTCGGAGATATCGCAATTTATGTAAATGGTAATTTTTCTTAATTCGACTATCTCTGTCCCCGTCTGACACGTCGCGCTGGACCTCTTTGTCGCACGTGAGACGTGACTCTCGTGACCTAGTCTCGAGCGTAGTATTTCCAAGAATTTACTACGCACTGTTTACTATTTTCGCGCGCGCGAATTCATTGATATCAATGAATGTAAACAAACGCTTCGGACCCTTATCTCTCCGTAACTAGCCACCGCATCGACTTGAAACTAAAATCCTCATATCTCCGGAACTACTAATGCTATCGACTTGTTCGAACGCTCATTTTAAAGGGCATTTCATCCCCTATCCAATGACTATACCAGCTACTATAATTTTTACTGTCTTCTATGTTTATTTTCACGTTTACTTTGACGCTACATACCCAAAGTTGTTTCAGTACTTCCTATTGAACATACGACTGGATCATAAATAGTTTATTTAATCGAAAATGAATTTAAATTGATATACAGGGTGTTTGCATAATTACTGTGCCATTTTTTCCCGTAAATAATTGTTTTCTCTGGAATTAACTACGGTATCGATTTGAAAGAAAATTTGTTTCCAAGATCGTTTTATCTTCTACTAAAATACTATTAAAATACTAATGCACGTTTAGAGTAAAAGTATTCAATATTTTTGTGCAGGTTCTTAGAATTCAATGCTTTATATCAACTTCAAAACGCAACTTTCTATACATATAATGGTAGAAATGTAGGTTTAGTATTAAGCGTATTTTGTTGAACCAATGTTGATAAATTCGTGGAATATAGAGGGGCCTAGACGTCGATATGGCGGAAGTTGTCGTGTCAGACCCCGCCCCGGGGTCCCCGGGAGCCAATAACTTGCGATATACTTAGTGTAAATACGAATCGAACTCTTGAAAATCCCGAGGAGGTAAACTTCTCGTTCGATCTCTAATTTACGAGTCTCGCGACTGGCATCCAGAGCGACGAGTTTACGGAACGTGTCTTTTGATCTTCTCCCCTAGCTCTGCACCGACTCCGTCTATTTCCTCTCCAATTTCCGTCCCCTTGTTTGCCCGTGCCCCGATGACGTTCGATAAATATTTCACGTGTTGTCGATACCGGCGAGACCCGTCTTCGCGACGATTGTCCCCGGCACGATCGCTCAAAAGAATCTCGAGAGGTACCTGATTCCGAAACCTCGGTTAGGACCGTTCGTAAAGCTTTTACAGCGCTACCATGAATGGGGATACGTCTTACTTTATACGACTGAGAAATTTTAGAAGACGTAAAATTACCCTCTGAGAAGTTAGGGGTTCGTCTCTACGACGAAACAGCTTTTCGACCCGTTAAACTAAAATTGGCAAAAATATTCCTTTTACCTGTGTTAAACAAATTTATTTTATTAGGAATTTTTACAGCAGAGATTCTGTAGTGTTTTTTTTTTACAGAAAATGAATTAGTTTCTCGTGTCGCAAAATGTTATAAATAACACGTAATCTTCTATTAGGTCGAAGACGTCTCGAGGCAGGGGAGAACCGTTCTCTCATTAAATTAAAATTTCAACCGAAGTTTGGCGGAGTTTGCTTGCGTCAAGAGCCCGAGTGAAAAGGTCTAAGTAAATATTAATAGTCGTGGAACACGTCGTCGAGCAGAGTTTCGTGTCTGGTATCGATTAGTCGTCGGGAGAACGAGAAACAAGGTGGGTGGACGAGATGCAAAGAGGCAAAGGGTGCATCGTGTCGCCGGTGTGGGAGCGAGACGAACGAGACGAACAAAGGATAAGATTATTGTATTACTATTAGCTCCGTTGCCGCGAGTCTCGCCATTGTCCGGGATAACGAGAAATTGTCGGGAAACGAAACAATCGGTCGTGAAATGTGAGTTCCGGGGATGAAGACCGGGGCCTCTTCGCGGAAGACGAGTCTTTGTGATCTTTGTGGCCGGTAATTGAGGTGTTATGGAAGATATCGACCGAGAAACGCGAGCGTGGTGCAATTCGACTGGTAACGAGGAGAACCACGACACGGAAAGAGATATTAATCCTTTGTCGGGGTTAACTGTCCAAGGACGGAACTCTTTTTTTACCGGTGTTAAACGCGCGCAAAATAATATCAACGCAGAAAGATTGATCCCCGTATCGCGTCTGTGTATCGATGGGAAACGATTTTTGTTCAAGTTGTTGTATGGATTTCTGTATATTTATAGAACCGCTGTGTTTGAAAGGCATCGTTAGTATGTACATCTGGTTTCAGCTTCTATAGTTAGTGGGGCAAGTTTGCATACGCCCACCTAATGCAGAATGAACAGCCAAGGTGAAGATTCAAGCTTTCGCAGGAATCGTATTTTTTCGTGTGCAAAAGTTATTTTGTAAATACTGATTCTACAATTTTAAATGTTTAAGAGAAGTAATGCTTGTTTATGGGACTGAGAAATTAGGAACAACAGTGGAGTGGAAGGCACGAAATTAAATAACCAGAAGAGAATATAAAATTACGAAGAATATCAAACTTTATGATAAAGTGAATAATGTATTCTCTTAACTTGAAAGACAGTATCGAAAATTAAAAACTTAAGAGCACATGATCTCCTTGTACGTATTATATTTTATATGGGTTCCTCTTTTATAATTTTATTTAGTTTACATTCTGAAGATGACCTAAATTGAGGAGTCCCTTTACTAACTATATAATCCTAAAAGCTTTTACAAGAAATCAAAGACAGTTCAGTTTAAGACACGCAAGGGGTGTTAAATATAAAATGTTTCGATCCAGAGTTTGTAACGATCAACAAAAATGATTAAAGAAGAAACTAGTTTTGCTCGAGAAGATAAAATAGGAACACGCGTTTCATTTACGATGAAAATTTGCAATATTTCGAAAGTGTGGTTTTGAGGGAATATTTCCGCTTTGGTTCGTCCGTGTTGGCGTGTCACGTATTTCGAAATCCCCCATCGAGCGCAAGTAACACCGAAGAAAGTCATGGATCACCGAACGAGCAAATTCGCAGAAAGGGTAGCGCCCCTCCCACGCGCGAACACGCTCGCTAACCCCGTGACCCAGTGGGCGCCTTCGTTAAATTACGGACCGCAGGAAAAAACGTAGATTCTGGTACGTTTACCGACGAGTCATTAGCTACCATCCACGTTTACACGTCTCGTACAGGGTGGAGGGGAGGGTGTCTCTCTATAAACAAAATTTGCAATATTTCGTC